TCATGCCTGCTGGCAGTGCCCTCACACAGGTTGTGCTTCAGGTGGCCACCCTCTATACCTGGAAGCAATGCAGCTGCTACCCGGGAGGGTGATTTGGCCTGTCCCCACCACCCCCAAGGCCTTGGCATCGCTGCCTGTTAATGCCAGTTTGCCTGCCCTAGGGCCCGCGTGGATGCACCGCTGCTGGTTGGGATCTCTCCCTCAGAGGCAGAGCGCTCGTCCCAGCACACGGACTGTGCACCAGCACCAGAACCAGCCTTTTCGCTGCCCGGCTGGGACTTCTCTCCTTCGCGGGGCAGAGGCTGCCAGGAGGGGGAGCTCCACTGCCAGGGGGGGGATCTCCAGCCCTGCATGAAGAGCGTGTGTACTGAAAGAACTGCCACACACTGGGAGCTGAAGGTCCATCATGTCCTTTTATTTATTCCCACTCTGTGCTACACCACAATTGGCACGAGGGGTGGAAACCCGGTTTTTCCTCAATGCTGCTTGACAGTGGGGACCTGAGCCTGTTACCGCTCTGAGCTTAAGAGAGCAGGTTTTTAAGTGTGAGACACGGTAGAAGCCAGAGTCCAGCCAGGTAGGTGCTTTTCTTTGGTGTCTGCTAGTCGGCATGAGACACAGCACCTTTAAAAATAAAAGCGGCTCAAACTTCCTTGGCCATCACAGCTCCCCAGGGGTCGGTGCCTTGCTCTCCCCTCCTCACTGAGACTGCATTAGCGTGCACACCTGCACTCCAGCTAGCAAGAGAACTAGAACAAACTCCAGCTGAAATGCACATCTGTTTGCAAGGACTTAGTGCTCTCGGAATCAGACCTGTTGCAGAAAGGTGGCGGAAGACTAAACAAACGCACTCGAGCTGGTTTGTTTTTTTTGTGAATGGGGTTAGAATGAGCTTGTAGCAAAACGAGGATTTCCTAATGGTGCCATAGGACAAATCAACTAAAGCCTGATCCTCACTGACCTCGGTTTCAGCAGTGAAATGGTGAAAGCAATGTCAGACCTGGCACCAAGTTCCCCCGTGCTTTCCTTTGGCTGCCAAAGAGAAAGGTTGGCTCCATGCTTAGAGCAATGGGAAGCTGCTGGGGAGAAGCTGATTAAGAGACGCGGTGATGAAAATGTGCTAATGCCTGGGAGGCGAGGGGAAGCTTGCCCAGCAAACCGATTGCCAGGCTGTGCCTAACTGGCTTCCTACGTGCTTTGCTCTCCAATTCCTAAGACCCTTTTTTGAAATGGGCCTGGGGGGCAGGGAACAGGAACAACACATGCTGCTGCTTTCCTGCATGTTCTCATGGGTGGCTTAAAATCACTGGCACATGTGTTGGTATTTCAAGCTGTGGCTCCAAAGTCTGCCAGCCTGAGACTGTGCTCTTTGCTGGCAGCCGGGTTCTTGGTTGCTCACAGGGCTGCCCTCGGGCCCTGATGGTCCGTGCTCACCTGCCTCCTTTATCGCCCTGACCACAAATCCCTTCCCACCCACGGATGCTGTGTGGGGCGATGGAGGAGCCGGGCTGCCCACGCGCTGCACAGGCAGGGCTCGGCTCGGCTCGGCTCGGGATGAGCTGGGTCACAGAGCAACAGACGTGGCCCTGGGGACTAAAGGCTGTTTTTGATGCAACCGCACGCAGGTGCTGACAGAGCAGACTTGCCAAACACGCTGCCCTTTCAGTGGCTCTTTATTCAAGCCTCTCTGGGACCTGGTTTTGTCCTTCAGTGATGAGACTAGGCCCACCAATGCCTGTGCTCTTCTGCAGAGGCCTGCCCAGCTGCTACTGAGCAGATGGAGCCTCCGATGCCTCTCTGAAGGGCGGCAGGTGGAGGAATGAATCCAGGTCAAGGTCAGGCTCTTGCCTACACGTGGACTTAACAAAAGTTTTACCCCAGGCACCCAAGCTGCAGCTGGGCAGTGTTGCCCCCAAGGTCTGATGTGAACGTGGGAGTCCATCTCGGAGCCTCTCCTCTCAATCCAACAGGCTTGTGTCTATGGAGAAGTATCACTACCCGGCTCCCAGGGGCTCTCCCCTGCCCCCGGTCTCAGCTCTACCTGGTCCGTGCTGTGCTCTCAGCTGTGGGCCTCTCCCACGTCTGTGTGTTGTTGACCACGACGCTGCCTTCTCCATGTGCATCTATGCACGTCCGCACTGCCTGCAGGATCAACTGCAGCCGCCGGTCCAAAGCCAGGAGGTGGGGCTCGGCCAGCACGGGCGCCAGGCGGTCCTGCAGGAGTGACTCCCTCATGACGTCGCTGAGCTGGTACTCGGGCAGCGCCAGCAGCTGCAGCCGTAGCAGCGTCGTCCTCTTGATCCTGGAGAGAGAAGCAG